TCAAGGCGGTTTACCGGTTATGGGAAACAAACGAGCAAATAGTCAGGGAATGTTCGAATAGACCTGGTCCTATTTTAAAGGTACATGTTTAGATAGTTCCGATTGTGACGGTGCCTTTAAAATTTCCGTGTTGGTAAGTCATACACTTCTACCACTAATGCGGTAAAAAAACAGCCCTTTTGTATGTTCAGATTTGTCTCCACTGTTGCGGCATGTCTGTATGTACTTTACAGACCAAATGGTAGACACACAACAATGATTTTATTGTGTGTGGTCGTAAGGCGTAACTGCAAAGTGCTCCGCTAGGAACAGTAGCTTTGGGATTAGTTTGAGGTCTTGAGTTCGAATCCTGTCATGTCACCGATCCTGTGTCCTTGGGAAACGCACTTAACACGGCTTCCTTCACTTAACTCACACCGCACAAAATCCCTCGTTTCCGTCTGAGAAATTGTCGCACACTTTCCCGGATATTTTAGGTTTCCGGTAGAACCCGGGGGTTTCCAACCTGCACACGCAAGGTGTCCAGCCCCGTACATGTCCGGGACATTCAAGGAAATGAACCAATGTTTGTGTGCAGGCCGTGTACGGGGCGTTATATGCCCGGACACGCGGCCTTTAAATCCCTGTAAACGGCAGGAAATGGCCGTGTACCGCTCCGTGAGTTGCTGGAATATGCATAATTTAGCGGCAATTATCACCTAATTATTCTCCATACGGCAGCGGAAATCCGCCGTGTACGGGTCGGACACGCCGGTACTACCCCCCCCCCCCCCTCCCGGCCACAACCCGCCCTGCTCTCGGGACCGGTTGCTCCCGTTCCCGGGACCCGTTGCTCCCATTCCCGGGGCCCTGCTGTTCCCGTTCTCGGGATCCACTGCCCCCACTAAGGGGACCCCCCCTTCCCGCTTCCGGGCCCGGGGCTTCGCTGCCTGGCTCTCGGGAAATCGCTTCCCCCGCTCCTGGGACACATTTCGATGTTTTAGGAACACATTTCATTCATAAAAAAAGGTAATACATGTTTATACTTCATTCATCGTTTTATTGGTATTAACAGGATTGCCATTTACAGATTGACAAAAATAACGCTCTATGTATAGTGTATTACACGTTATGCACTATGCTAACACTATACTATAATGTACATGAGTATTTTCTATTTCCTTCTGCGTTAGTGCCAATCAAATGAGTGTTCCATCACCTTGTCTTGTGTTAAATGTTAAAATAGAAAAACAAAACGAGAAGGCTAGGGAAGGGACAAGCTCCCAAGACAAAACGTTATATAAAAACACCACCAAATGTTTACGATTGACTTTGCATATTTTGCAAGCAAACTGTATCATGGAAAATGAACTTGATCATTATTTTAAGGATAAATTATTTTACTAAAGAACTAATACCATGACTTATCCACAATTTGTCACCAATATCCCATTTTGAATGGTTTCCCTCTAGTAGAATGCTGGATCATTCTAAAAGCAACACCGTTATCAGTTCAATAGTCAAGTTACTATTGACGCTATGTTTGGATGGTTTCGTCATGGCAACGGTGCCGTTAAGTATTTCCGTGTTGGCTGCCATACAATGTGCTACTGGTGTGTTAAAACACACAGCCTTTTGTATGTTCAGATGCTTGGCCAAAACCATGAAAAAAAGGGCGGGGGGGACAAAACTATAAAAAAAACACACCACTAAACCGTTTGACGTCTGAGCTAGGAAAAGAAAAGTGACTGGTCATTTTGAACCGACATACATACCTCCTTTACAAGGTCAGAAAACATGTAGAAAATATTAAGGCTGATTTGATTTTCTTTCTCCTTTCCTTCCTTCCTTTCTTTTTTCCTTCCTTCCTTAGCTTCCTTCCCTCCTTACTTCCTTCCTTCCTCCTTTCTACCTTTCTTCCTTTCTTCGGAAGGTTCTTTCTTTCTTCCTTCCTTCCTTCCTTCCTTTCTTCCTTCCTTCCTTCCTTCCTTCCTTCCTCCCTTCCTTCCTTCCTTCCTTCCTAGTAAGTTGTAACATGGAGGTGTTGTAGAATCAGTTGCTAGAGTGGTAATACAGTTTCAGTGCTTTGGAGACAAATGACAGTTCATGTCTTTCGGTTCTGCTCTTGGTTGCTCGGAAGCGGCCCTCTCGCCGTAGACAGTAGCGGTTAACACATGGCGGGATCAGAAACTCATTCAGGGGAGAACTGCTGTCCTGAAGAATGTTCTGTAATGTTCTCAGTGTGGCTGTGTCACGCCTACTGGACAGCGAAGGCAGAGAGTCTTTAGGAATTCCGATGATCCTCATACAGCGATGTTGTACAGCTTCCAACATGTCGGAAAGGTACTTCGGTAGACCCCCCCCCCACACACACACAACGGGGCTGGCATACTCCAGGAGAGGACGTATGAAAGTCAAGGAAATCTGGATCAGTGCTTCAGTAGGGAGTCCAACCTTCTTCGCGGCGGAAAGGTAGTAGCCCCGAGAACGGGACTTTTTCACCATGTAGTGTACATGTACATCCCAGGTGAGAGTGGCAGCGATATGCACTCCTAAGAGTTTGAAGGAAGTAGTCCTTTGTATCTCACAGCCTGCTATAGTTGGGTGTGGAGGAACTGGGACGTTAGCCTCCTTCCGTGCGCCTAATAACCATATCCATGGTCTTCTTGCCGTTCACTCCGAGGGAGTAAGACTCTCCCCATTCCACAATGGAATCTGGGTTTCCTCGGGAAGAGAGGCCATTAGTAGTCCAGATGTTAAATCGGTTTTTTTGTTGTCATATAGGTTTTCATGTCATTTCAGCTGTTCAGGGTTGAAAGGGGGGGGGGCACTTCTCGATGTTTGGGCAGAATCCACGCATGGTTCAACTGTATAGGATATTTTTTTTTTACTTTGGTCTAAATGGAGATGCTAGACTACCCTGCCAACGTATGTTTTCAAGGTCTAAGATTCAAGTATATGATTTTTGACCACGTTGTTCTGACATACTTGTATTAACATAGGAAAGTCAATAACTGTGCTGTAGGTTCACCGGTATCAGTTCAATAGTCAAGTTACTGTTGACGCTATGTTTGGATGGTTTCGTCATGGCAACGGTGCCGTTAAGTATTTCCGTGTTGGCTGCCATACAATGTGCTACTGGTGCTTTAAACACACAGCCTTTTGTATGTTCAGATGCATGGCCAAAACCATTAAACAAAAGGCGGGAGGAACAAAACTATAAAAAAACACACCACCAAACCGTTTGACTTGTAGCATATCCTACAAGTGGCGTCGTGTAGCGTAGTGGATATGGAGTGATTGCCATATCCTACAAGAAAACTAGGATCATAACCTGCGTATTGATCTGTCATTTCCAATAAAGAAAGAAAGAAGAAAGAAACTAGCTAGGCACAGAGAAGTGACTGTGGTCAATTTTACTTTAAAAATGTTGCTGAACACACCCAGACTACCCTAACCTACATACATACCTCCTTTACAAAGGTCCCTACCTACCTACCTCTTGCTCCTCCCGTAAGGTACTGCCGATTACCACGGTCCTTTTAATTAAGATAAAATGCAATGATTGTTAATCATACAGAAACCCATACTTGATCCCGACTTCTCTCCCCCTCAGGGCGCACTCCTCAGCCTGTGTGAGGTTACCGGGCTGTGCCTGTTGACGGTCCGGGTCATGCCGTCTGTCACCCCCGCCCTGAGCGTGGTTCTGTCCAACGGCGTCATGTTCATCCCCATCGTCAGCCACATCATCAAACAGACAGTCGGTCTGTGCAGGCAGAAGAAAAGCCGAAAGTGTGGGCGTGTTTTTCTTGTCGTGTTGTGGGTTGTCGGAGGTCTGACGTGTGGCGGACTTGTCGGTGTCTGGAGTTATTTCAGAAATCAGAAGTACGTGGTAGAAACGGTTGTCTCGCTGTTTCTTCTATCCGCGGCGTGGGCTCCGAAACTACAGCAGTACCAAGCTGAAGGATGTCGCCCAGCCACGTCGTCACAGCCAGATCATACCCAGAACTCGAGATGGAAAGCAGGAATTTTGAACAATTTCTTCAAACTTGGTTTTGTCCTGGTGGTTCCTGACGTGATGAGGTATGCTGGAGTACTAGATGTGTGTTCTGACTGGGTTTGGACCTGTGCGGAGGTTTACGCGCTCTTCACGATTGACCACCCGGCTACAGTCAGCTTTGTCCTCAATGTTACCGCAGGTTTCGTGGGTTACATCCTGGCATGGATGGCCTGTGCTTTACGAATGGGCTACTTTGGATTCGCCTTGCCTGCCTTTCTCAGCACATTAATTACAGGTAAGTTGGGACAAAATGACATTCAGTATAAAATGGCATCTTCTCACATTTCTTTTTCTTTCTATTTGTCGAAATTAGAAAAAAAGGAAATTTCAGACAGCTGGTGGCCCATGCAATTCCGACAAATGGATTTTCAATGGAGCCTAGACTACAGAGTGTTTAAAAATCAAAAATAAAATATCGTCAGACACAAATAACACATGTACAAATAACCGAAAGTACAAACAAAAACTGCTCAACATACACGAATAAGCTAAAATGGTATCGCGGGAAACTTGCACTGTTTAAATATACCACTCATGTAAACCGCGACCAAGGCCGCCACCGACTACCCCCATCTACAACACACTCGTCCAGTCAGACTTGTGCTGACCTTTCAACCTTGGGTCACGTGACTGCCCTCGTCATTAGTTAAAGAAAGATGGTGGATGCCATCTGAAAGCTCCTACGCTTACAGAACTTTGTCGTGTGTAACAGTTTAAATCCTTCCTTTTAATACCACTCATATATTTTCAGCAATTGTTATTTTCATCAAACAAATCTGCACACGACTGAGCTTCTTCCATGAAGAGACGTGTGTGGATGACTACACGGTCTGGGACACAGGAACGTGTCTGGGGCTGCTGCTGGTCCAGTTCTTCTCCACCACGTGGTTCGTCATGAGGAGTCCAACTATCGTCATGGAGCAGGAAGCACAGGTCGGTAGAATGAGGTGTCGTATCGCCAGAACCGTGCCTATCTAGTTTCGCCATCTATCCCCGTTAAGCTTTGGTCCCAATTGGAAAAAGGGGCCCTGCCGGGTAGTCTCCGGGCTGTTTTTTGGCACTTTCGGGCGGGACACCCTGCGGCAACCGGGCTTTTTTGGGGCCCGGCGGGGACCCGAGAAGAATTTAATTCTAACTTAAATTCTACCCGGGTCCCGCTGACATAAAGACGCCGTAACCTAATCGTGAGGTACCCCTGACGTACCTTCTATCGTTCTACCTACTACCGAAGACTCTCGCATTACGTATATCAGAACGATAGAAGGTACGTCCTTTTCTCTAATTCCAACAAAAATGCAATAATGGCATGCGCTTTATAATAGAGAAATAATTTTTGACACAATAGTTCACCAGTTTGTTGATAGAACTTGTTAGAAATATTACACCGAGGAAAGGGGAGGGGATGGTCTTACGTCATATCCGTGACTTTTACCGACTTAATTAGGCCACACCGACTTAATTTTATGGATGACATCCACGCGCGCATTGATTTTCGCCCGATCTCCAAAAAAAAAAAGAAAAAAAAGATCACGTCTTCCGAGGCTCTGGCCTGGCTTTAGGTCTGGGTAGTCCATGGTGGTTAGCGACAACTAAGCCGATGGTAACTCAATTCACAATACCGGCGTTGTATTCCAGTGGTTTATAATTAGTTATTTAGTATCATTTTTATTTTTGGCCGGATTTTTTCTTTTTTCGCCCGCGCGCACTAGTTTGGGGGTCTTCAGAGGATGTCAACCATAAAATTAAGACGTTGTGGCCTTATGGGAAGTGTGAAATTGCTGAATGAATATGTAGATGTAGATTCTTTATTGACACAACAAAAAAGTACAGAGACTTTTGTATGGTCTTCTACAGCTTAACTAAAGATCTAACAAAGCTAAATACATGTCTGGATAACGTCATTTATGTAAGACACGGTTCTGTATAAAACAGAAGGCCAATAAAATGAATGAATAACGACCATAAGTGCCAAAACCTTGACGTAGCAAATACTAAAATATTCCTTTCCTGTTTACTGTTGTTTAGGATGTTTTTATTGTATTTCTTATATTATCTGTATCTGTAAGTGAATCTTATCAATCATTTCTAATAGTTTACAAAAGAAAAGTCAAGCCCGTCAGACACAGTTTTAGACGATTCTGTTATTATGTAGATTTTGAAGTTATTTTGTACTCTGTTTCAATTTTTATTTATCTTTGTTATTTGCAATTATACTTCGGTCAGGAATTTGCAATAAACGTATTTTTTATCATCTTGTCGTCCTCAGCTGTTTTGGCTGCCCGGGTACAACAGTGTGTTCCCGGCACAGTGGATGCTGCTGAGTAGAAAAAACAGGAACACGAAGAGGGAGGACTTCACCACGAGAAGAAAGACCAAACAGAACACGCACGTCTACATCTGTACAACTATGTACCATGAGGTTTGGTTATTACCTCCATGAAAAATGGAGGTATTGTTTTTGGCGTGTCTGTCTGTATGTGTGTCTGTGTGTTTGTGTTTCCGTACATTTGTAGCCAGCATAACTGTTGAACATTTGGATGGATTGTAATGATATTTGGTATGTGGATAGGTGTTGGGTACTAGGCAAAGGTCATGGTCAATTTAGGGTCTCCTGGTTGCTGACCTTGGTACTGCAGCAGAACTTCCGGTTTTTGTATATTTTGTCCTGGACATGCTATGGTCTTGATTTTTGAGTGGTAAATAGCTTTTCCTGTCAGTAATAGGTGATATGGGTTTGGTCCCCCCAGCAGCTTTTTCTGGAACTGCAGGGAGGGGGGGTTTCAGGCAAAACGTTTCAGGCCACATAAATTCACAAAGGAACAATGTATCTTTATGATTTTTGCCATGTGGGTAGCTTAGACAGAGATATACATTATAGAATGCATATTATACAAATGATGACTTCATTTGCATAATTAATGAGGAAATTCTGTGATTCCAGTGTTTTACACCTTGGGATTTTGATACATGTCATGTTTATAATCTATGGCAGGTGGAATATGACCAGATACCAGTTATGCAAAGATGGACCTAATTTGCATAATTAATCTGAAAATTCTATGACTTCTTAGTGGTAAATGATGGGAATTTCATACTTGGGACATGTGTAAGTTAACATCACAATGCATTTATTATGTTAATGTAGAGGCCATTTGTATGTTAAGGAAGAAATTTACATTTACATTTACATGTCAAACCCATATTTCATGGAGGTATGAGATCTCGGAACTCTTGTTCATTTGTATTTTTTGGAGGGGGGGTCAGTTGTATTGTTTGTGTATTTGTTTGTTCGGGCAGATTATGTGCACAGTACGTGGGGGAGATTTGGTAGAATTGGATAGAGTGGACTTCCCAAATGTCTGAAATCTATATTTTGTGTAGGGTCCGTATTGCTTAGTCTTATCAAGCTCTTTGTATGTCAATTTTTAATCTATTGAAGTGTATCTTTAAGACGTAAAAAAAACGTAAGATTTGTAATCTCAACTCAAAAGTTTTTTTGATGAACTTAAAAGTGGTCTATATACTAAAATATATAAAGTACTGTCATAATGCAAAAAACAAAGTTCAGAATAACTGCAAGATTATGATAAAACGTCTCTTTTCTTTAGGTAAAGACAAGATTTTCACTAGAAACTGATCATGTATTTTATTCTGTTCAGTCGGAACGTGAGATGGAACAGCTCCTGACGTCATTACGTGTTTTGGCGGAGAGTCAGGTCGGTGAGAGAACCTTCGAGTCGCACATCTTCTTCGACGGAGGCTGCAGACAGAGACAGCCGTCACAGTGGGCACTGCAACTCTTCAGCGTC